TTTCATCTTCTCGTCCTCGTCTGTATCATGTTTTGGATGATTTTCGAGAGGAACAATGTGGTTACCCCGGCATTATTATCTTTGACGGGACCACCCCACACGTTGTTATTTGTAGGGGATGCATTTGAACCACCCCCAGTATTTTTAGAGGGTGCATCGGCCATGATGATTTCATCCACTTCTGGATCGCTATCAACTGCGGCATTCTGGGTGCGGCGGCTAGATTCACCAAGTTGATTGGATAAAGCCTGCATCTGTCGGTCATGCTCTTCCTTCATCTGTATCATGGCTATTTCTAATTCGAACTTGAAGTTCTCTTTTTCCTTAGCCAAAGCGTCCTCGATGATCTTGGTCATTTTTCAGCGTTGATCATGAACGCCTCACGAGATTATCCTATGATGGACACCGTATTGTCAGAAGCGATGGCAGAGTTCGTATCTGATGCTTCATCATCTGAGGATAATTCGTTATTCATCCTCTGATAATCCCTACGCATAGTAGTTCCTACGTGTAACCGAGTTATACATTGGGATACGTTCGAAAAATGACGAGAACTGAAACTTCGTGTTGACTTCCCTTTATCATCCATATTGATAGTGACCTTTGGGAGTTCGTCGTCTCGCACAGCTGATCTTTTTCTTTGAAAACACCTTAGCTTGGTTTCCGACGCTTCATAGGAAAGCCTTTGGAATACCGAGACCTTCTGTGGAGCAATCTTGGGACAGCTACACGTTGATAATACTGCCCTGATAATTTTGGTACACGGACAATGAGAGTCCGTTTCCTGGGTACTTCTCTTTTGAGATTTATTCGTACCCCCAGCCCGATAGTACAACTCATCGACATTGCGATTAGAGCAACCTATCAGCTGTTTACATGAATTCTTAGGTATAATGCGTTCGTCTGTCTGACGCATTTTCTTCTAAGTAAACAACTCCTTGTTGGTGTTTGCAGGAGTCACACGTTTGGAATCAGACCTTTCCGGGGGTGAAACCTTAACGGGCTCCTGGCCTTCGACTCGCAGTCTGATACGGTCAGTGGCTGGAATTTTCTCTTTATGAGAAGGCTTTATATTGTCATGAGGGCGCGTGTGACCCCCAGCTTGTTGAGTTGCTCAGGGTTCCTTCACTGGGCCCAAGTGTTCTTTAATAGGCGGTTTGCCTCGATCTTCATGCAAAGGACCTAGGTGTTCCGCTATTGCTTTCCTGCCTCTGGATATGTCTATACTATCACGGAGCTTCACCGGCGGTGTGGGATTAGAAGGAGTGAGATCTGAAGTTGACGAAGGTTGGAAAGCATCCTCGGATGCTTTTGCCTTAGGTGCTGATTTGGCCTTTGGCATCCAAACTTGCTTAGATCTTGGTAGCTTTTTGACCACTTTTCCTTCTGCAACTCCTGTGCCTTCCGCACAAGGATCCTTGTCTGCGCTAGCAGTGCTCGGCGCTTATGGATACGCTCCTCAAGAGTTGAACGGGTCTTTTTGACACAAACCCATTCATTGGTTGCTGGTTTGGAGGAGGAGGCATTTTCTTGTTGCTGAAACACTTGGTGCCTTCTGAGTTTCAGATCCGCATCATAGCATATCCCATCAATAGGCTCTAAAGCCTTGGCTAATTGGCGTGCAAGATGTTGACGACGCCTTTGACGAGACCTCTTCGTCAACACTGGTGCACTTTCAACGGGCAACCCCTTGACTTTCAAGGAGTTATCACGAACGTTGGATCTTGTTTCTTTTGAAGCCGGAGAGGGGTCTTCCACTGCATTCAGGTTCAGATCATCAGCCCTGATCTTCGGATCTGAAGGCATGTTCTTCGCGGCAGTAGTTTTCTTGCGTTTGCAAGAAGAAGATCTGGAGGAGGAGGAGGAAATATATTCCTCGAATTTCTGCTGGTCGAATTCGTATTCGACCTCTTCGAACACCGGGATCTTGATCCTCGGCTGCGGCACAACAGCTTCGGCAGCGAAGCTGTTGGCTCCCACTTTGGTCGCCAGCTTGTTTGGGTAGAAAATTGTACTCTTCATTGTATAAATTATTACAACTTGAATCGTTACAACAAGTTCAAAAAGATCGGTCTTTTTATAAGACCTTTACACAGTGAAAACAAAAAAATAAAACTCTCTTCAAACAAACGCAATGAGTGTTTATCCGCCCGCTGCTTGCGTGGGATCTTGGCCTGTAACGGGGACGTTGATATCCGTGGATCACCAAACGATCAGATCAGATCCGGAGCTTCGTTGATTCGTGAAGGAATCAAGAAACCGAAGCGCTTATCTCGGCAACAGCGAGATAATTGCTCTTCTTAAGATCACCGCAACGGGGTAATCTTAAGGGACAAACTGGGCTGCAGATCTGACGAACTCCTCTTCTTTATGCCAAAGAATCCGCTGAAGTGTCCTCCTTCTCTCTGAAATTCGTGGATCTTCAGTCCTCAATCCGGCAGGGCTTCGCCAACGCTCGAGAATTCTAGATCTTAAAAAATAAAGGCCCTGAGGCTGTATTTATAGGCTTCAGGAGCCCTGTGTTCGGATAAGAACGGTTGATTCCCTCTTATCTTCAGTTGAAACCAATTAACCACATTATCAGATCAGTTGAAACAAATCTAGGCGGTTAACGATCGAAAAACCGCCGAAAACAACCAAAATCAGTGTTTTTTTTGTATTGTAGACACTTCTGAGTGTCTTGGCCAAGCCAAGACACTTGAGAGTGTCTCGGCTTTGGCGAGACACTTATAAGTGTCTTGGCTTGGCTGAGACACTTATAAGTGTCTTGGCCAAGCCAAGACACCACGGGGTGTCTTGGTTTTGCTTTTTCTGGTTTTGGCGTGTGGAGTTTGTTTCCACCATAAATTCGTCGTCCGGACTCGGAATTACGTGGTTCAATATGCGTTGGAAAGCCGACAAGGAGATCTACAGGCTCCCATAATTGAATCATATGTGGAGTAAATAGGACACGAGGGGTGCTCCGCCTTTCGTAAATAACGTGGGGCTCCCGATCAGCTCTTGTTCCCGTTATTCCGAAGTTTCGTTGCTTCGTATGGTCCGTCGACTCACTTCATGTGTTTGTCGTCGTCAAATGAGCTTCTGTGACTCGGATAGCGACGTTCATCGTCTTATCTCTGTCTCGAGCCATGTGCGGGGACCTATAGGCAATTTTTAACGTCTACAATACTCATGAATAACAACCATACTTGTGAACAGTACCATACTCATGAATAGTGTACAGTGCCTTCGAAAGGGTAACTGATAATCTAGCTTATTTTTTAATGTGGAGGGTCCACCGTTGGTGGCAGCATTAGAGCATACGATAAGCAGAAACACTTATTCTAAGTCAGAAACACTTATTCTAAGTCAGACTTTGATGCCACTTGTTGGGAATAATTGGAGCCCTGTAGAATAGGGTCGCAATGAATATTAGTGCGAAAATAATAAAATTGAACACATATATTTTTACGTGGAAAACCCTCTAAATAAATTTGCGGTAAAAACCACAGATAAAAGTAGAAGAATCCACTATTAGAAAAATTTAGGAGTTACAATCTCTCTTTATAAGGAGAAACTCTCTGTTTTAGCTCTCTCTCTCTCTCTCTCTCTCTCTCTCTCTCTCTCTTTCTTGCTTGCTACCTCCGTCTTGCTTGCTACTGGAATGATCTCAACCTAAGGCTAGAGAGGCTATATATAAGTGATTTTGTTGTAGGTGTGTACTGTGGTTAGTAATTACTGTAGCAAATAGATGGTTTCCGTTGGCATGATCGCTGTTACTTTTCAATAATTACTACTATGTGGATGGTATTTTGAGAAATATCTAGTATGTTAAGGGTACATAAGGAAAACAGCAAGAATTTTGACCTTCAACCGTTCTGTTGGACTTCTGCTTTCATGATTGTCTTAAAGCTTTCTCAATTTGGCGTTCACTCTAATTAAGATGGGCAAAAAAGATAAACTATAAGTAAAAGTAATTTACTAATTAACTGTATTACACTTTTTTTCTCTAAGTCATAAGTAACAATATTTAGCTCTTGAGGATAAAGAAATTGTGCATTATGACATCTCTGATTAATTTATCCCAGCAACACGCAGTTTTAATATATATCTAATTTAAATATTGCCGGCAGGGCACCCATATTACTATACATATTTATATAGGTTGATGAAGTATCTTTGCTGATATATTAACCAAATTCTAATCTACTTTAGATTCAATGTACATGTGATTAATTTTGGTTTAATTAATTAAGATGAAGCCCTTAGTGATGTTATAATATATATGATACTGGAATTATAATAATTATTTTGCTTAGGGGTACTCTAAATAAGTGGGTATTTAATAGTAGACGAAAATAACGTTCGGTCAGGAGTTATTATAAACGTAGTAACGCTGTCTTTTTGAGTTGTTAATATTAGAAGCAAGTAGATGTAATCCGACAGTTTATCAGTGTATCAACATTGTAATCAATTTATTGTATAAAAAAATTATTCCATTACACTTTTTTGTCCCTAGGAAATCCTTCCAATTTTTTAATCTTTAAATAACTTGAGAAAGCAAAACTGATGAGCTTTAGGGACATTTCTTCTAGTGAAGCTTTGTAGCTAAAATAAAAAAAAAATAAAAATAAAAAAAATAAAAACTTTATAGTTAGGTTCTAAGAAGCCTAGTTGCACCAAATCTACATGTGTTTGACAACCTCTTAAAACTCAGTGTTGACCTAATTTTGGATCAATTTTAAATTGGCCAAAACTTTACTAACTTAAGTAAAAAGAAGTCATAAAACCAATTTAGTGTTTCACCATCAGTGCCTTAGTCCAACTCTAAATTGAATCAAAGTAGAACATGGTTAGAATTGAACCTTGCCCAATTATTAGGTGATTGCCGAACACACCCACTGTGTTCTTTATTAAAAAAAGACATTTAAAAAAAGCTTTCACACATTTTGTATCTCATATACATTCTCAAGCATGGAAAGACAATTAGAAATATTCACCAGATCACCAAAAAATTATGAATGGAGAAACAGGTAACTTATTGAGTAACAAATGACAAATATTTTTTAACCGAAAAGGTTTAGGCCGTTAGAGCAGTTAGGCGCAAGTTAGTGTGCGATTTGGATGCTAATCTAAGCCTTCTGCTGAGATCAAAAAATGCCTAAAAAAAGAAAAACAGTGGGAAAAAGATTCTTGCTATTGGTCTCCGAGCATCGAATTTGGTTTCTTCTTCTTCTGCTGATCATTTTGATGGTAGTTTTATGGATTCTGATGAAGATTTTCTCCCTGAAATGGGATCTACTGGTCCTATAGGGGAGAAGAAGAAGAAGTTGATGAGTGAGATTCTTGAAGCCACCAATCCTCAGATTGATCCTCTGAGAGAAGGTTATCAATCTCGTAATCTTGATAATTCTCAAAAATTCAGCTCTGCTAGGGTTTCTTGGGCAGAAGAAGTTGAGCTGGTGGATGTTTCCTCAAGATCTTTTTCTTCTATTCATCCTTCAGATGATTTAAAGATTACTGAAGTATCTGGTAATACTCCTGTGAATTCTGCTCTGAATTCTTCTATTCCATCAAGCAATCTGAAGATTGATGAAGTATCTGGTAGTGAACCTTTGATTTCTGACCTGGATTCTGTTTTGGTTAAAAACTTACCTACTGGAAATCTAGATAAGTCTAATGTGAATCCAAACTGTGATAAAATTGCTTCCTCTTTTGTGAATCCTAATCCTGTTCATGTGAATAAAGACACAAAGAAAAGTTGGGTTAATTTGTTTGCTGATAATAGGAAGACTGGAAGCGGATTGAATTTGGGTTTTATTCCTCCTGATTCTAATAATTCAGTGATTTTTGATGATGATGAATGGAATGAGGGTAGTTCCATTTGGGAATTCTCTCTAATTGGCCGTGTTTTGGGCTTAAATGCTAGTTTCAAAGCCATGGAGAATTTTATTCAGAAAGTCTGGCTCAACTTGACTATACCTGAAATATGTTTGCTTAGGGCTGGCCTATTTCTTTTCAAATTTAGAAACAAGGAGGAAATGAATGAAGTTCTTGCCAATGGTCCCTGGTTCTTTGGCTCTAGGCCTCTTTTACTTAAGCCTTGGACAATTGGTGATGATTTTGATAAAATTGACTCTTGTTCTTATCCAATGTGGATCCAGTTTCCTGCACTTAGACTTAATTTGTGGAATTCTAAGTGTATTAGTAAAATTTCTAGTATTATTGGTAGACCCATCACTACTGATAAACTCACAGCAAATAGACAAAGACTTGCTTATGCGAGAGTCTTAATTGAAGTGGACTTGCCTGCTACTCTCCCTGATCAAATAACAATTCAAAGTCCAAATGGTAAACAATATCAGCAGAGGGTGATTTATGAAATGAAGCCAAGATGGTGTGATTTCTGTAAATCAGTGGGACATGATGCTTTACATTGTAGAAGGCAAGTTAAGTCTCAGAAATGGGTTCCTAAGCAAAAGACTGTTGTTTCTGAAAAAACTGTGGTATCTCAGATGAATCAAAATCAGGTTGGTAAAAAATATACTCAAGCAAATGAGGCTGATTTAAATGTGGTAAAAGGTAAATCTGTGGTTCATTCTCCTGGAAATGAAGCTTTACAAACTGGGGACTGCAGTTCTCTTTCTGTGCATGCTGTGCATGTTTCAGATATCTCTGGAATGGAAGCTGTTCAGGTGATACATGCTTCAACCCCAAATGTAGAGTTTCAGCAAGCCCCTAAATCAAATTCAAATTATGGGACATTTACCTGTAATGTTTCAGATGTAGTGCTGCATCCCATGCACTCCTTTTCTGGTAACATGCATATGGAAAATCCCTGGAAACAAGTTCAAAGAAACGTGAAAATTAATACTACAATTGAAGCTCTACAAGCTGGAGACTGCAGTATGATGCATGCTTCAACTCCAATTATAGAGTTACAACAAGTCTCCCCTAAATATGGTGTGCATGTACCAGATTCTAGGACAATCCCTGTGCATACTTTTTCTGGTAACTTGCAAAAAGAAAATCCCTGGAAACAAGTTCAAAAAAGTGGATTAAATTCTTTTTCTCCTTTGATCAATTTGACAAGTGGTATCAATCCCTCTATAATTGATAGGGGGAATTTGAGCAAATGAATTTATTTTTTTGGAATGTAAGGGGTTTAAATAAACCCCTTAAACATCATCTGGTTAAGCAATATATATCACAATATCATCTATCTTTTCTTGCTTTGCTAGAAACAAAAATCAAGGAGAATATACTGCCAGGTGTTACCAAGAAACTTGCTTGCAACTGGAAATGGTATGCTAATGGTAGCTCTACTGATAAGGCTAGGATCCTTATCTTATGGGATCCTAATGTCCTGGATATTCAAGTTATTCACTGCTCTCCTCAGTATATTACATGCCATGCTAAATCTTATGATGGTAAACTGGATTGCCTTATTACCTCAGTCTATGGATACAGCCAAACTGAAAAAAGAAAAGAGCTATGGTCAGATTTAAATCAATTTTCTCAATCAATTGGCCAATCTCCCTGGATTCTCTGTGGGGATTTCAATGCTCTGATCAGTGATGATGAAAAGTTGGGAGGAGCTATATTGTCTGATGCTGACACAATGGATTTCAAACTCTTCATTGATAATTGTCATCTATCTCATATGAAAACTTTGGGCTCTTTCTTTACCTGGAGTAATAAACAAGGCCCAGATACAAGGATTTGGAGCAGATTGGATAGAGCTCTTATTAATGATACTTGGATTGCCAGGTATAATTCTAGCCATGCTGAGTTTTTATTGCCAAGTTTCTCTGATCACTATCCTGCTCTTATCTCTATCTATGAAGACAATGTTCAGGGAAAGAAATCTTTTAAATTTTTTAAAATGTGGACCAAACATCCTAGTTTTCTCCCTACTGTCTATTCTATTTGGCAAACTTCAGTCCCAGGGCATTTAATGTATTCAGTTTGCGCTAAGCTCAAATTGTTAAAGTCTGCTTTGAAGGAGCTTAACAAGAAGCATTATCACAATATTAGTGAGCAAGTGATGAGAGCAAAAAATGCTCTAGAGGCTATTCAAAGGGATCTGCAGCAGGACCCTCTTAACCCTATTTTCATCAAACAAGAAAGGGATTCCCTTGTTTCTTTTAACAAGCTAGCTGATTGTGAATTGTCTTTTTACAAACAAAAGTCAAGAATTGCATGGAATATACATGGAGACAGGTGCACCAAGCTATTCCATTCCATCATCAAGTCCAATAGACATTATAACAGAATTCTGGTTCTCCATGATAATTCAGGTATCATAATCTCTGATAATGAAGGGATAGCCATGGAATTTATCTCTTATTTTAAAGGCCTTATGGGTACTGCTGTTAATACTGATTCTCCTGATTACAATATCATCAAAAATGGCCCTTGCATAAATGATACTCACTCAAGGTATCTTTCTGCTCATGTATCTAATGAAGAAATCAAAAAGGCTGTTTTCTCAATGTCAGATAATAAGGCCCCTGGCCCTGATGGTTACAGTGCATCATTCTATAAATCAGCTTGGCCAATTATTGGTGAAGAGGTAACATTAGCTGTTGAGGAGTTCTTCAAGACTGGAAAATTATTGGGGGTAACTAATTCTACAGCAATAGTTCTTATACCAAAGGTTCAATGTCCTTCATCCCCTTCTGATTTCAGACCAATATCCTGCTGTAATTGCATATATAAAATCATCTCAAAGATTCTTGCCAACAGGATGCAAACTGTTATGGGGTATATTATTAATGATGCCCAATGTGCTTTTGTTAAAGGCAGGTCAATATCCAGCAATGTCCTACTTGCCCATGAACTTGTAAAGAACTATGGTAGGAGACATATATCACCAAGGATCATGATTAATATTGATATCAGGAAAGCTTTTAACACTATCAGTTGGAAATTCTTGTCTGAAATGCTTGTAGGCCTGGGCTTCCCCATCTCTTCACCTAAATACTCTATATCCTTGAATGGTTCACTCCATGGTTTTTTTAAAGGTGAAAGAGGGCTGAGACAAGGTGACCCTCTCTCCCCTTATTTGTTTATACTGGGTATGGAGTATCTATCTAGGAGCTTGGATTTGTTGAAACATGATAAGAAATTCAAGTACCATCCTAAATGTGCTAAGCTGAAAATTTCTCACCTCATCTTCGCTGATGACTTGCTGTTATTTAGCAAAGGAGACTTATATTCTGTGCAGCAGATAAATCAGAAAATTTCTCACTTCAGTGCTGTTACAGGACTTGATGCTAATCCTAGTAAGAGCTCAATTTTCTATGGTGGTGTAAATAATATAGTTAAAGCTTCTATTCAGAGCTGCCTTGGTTTTTCTGAAGGCAGTCTGCCAATTAGATAACTGGGGGTTCCACTAGTGTGCAAGAGACTGTCTTTTGAAGACTGTAATCCATTATTCAGCAAGATAACTAGCCAATTTCAAAATTGGTTGTCTCATAGGCATTTATCCTATGCGGGGAGGCTTCAGATCATAAAAAGTGTTATCTTGGGAATCCAATTATATTGGATGTCAAGCTACATTCTACCAACAAAAGTTCTTCAAAGAATTGACATGATGTGTAGGAATTTTCTCTGGGGTAAAACAGATAATTCTTTCAAGCATCCTCTTGTCTCATGGGACATAGTTTGTAGAGGGAAAGCTCAGGGTGGTTTAGGGATATTCTCAGCAGTCACATGGAACATTGCTTCTGCTCTAAAAAATCTTTGGTATATTCATACTAACAAAGAGCTTCTTTGGATCAAGTGGCTTCATGAAACATATCTGAAAAATAGAGATATCTGGCAAGTTGAAATTAAAGTTGGGGATTCATGGATGTGGAAGCAGCTCTTGAAAATCCGTGATAAAGTTTTGATTTTCTGTGGTGGTGTATCAAACATGAAGCAGCTGATTAGTTCCTGTCATACTAATTCAAATCTGAAGCTATCAGCCCTATATAATGCCCTGTATCCAGTAGCAGCTAAGGTTCTATGGCGTGATACAGTTTGGGAATGTCTGAGCTTTGCAAAACATGCTTTTGTTCTTTGGTTAGCTGCTCACGATAGACTTCTCACTAAGGATAAACTTCTGAAAGGGGGAATTATCAATATCAATCAATGCAAATTATGCTCTGGTGCAGTTCCTGAATGTAGAAATCATCTGTTCTTCGATTGCAGCTTTTCAAGAGATGTTTGGAATGGAATTATGGATTGGATTCATTTTAAATGGAGGTCTTGTGACTGGTGTATACTTTTAAACTGGTATAACATCAGGTTGAAGGGAAATGGACTTAAGCATAAGGTGAAGAGGATGGTATTGGCAGCGACTGTTTATAGTGTATGGAGAGAAATAAATGCAAGGATTTTTGGCCAAATCAGTAAGAGTGTTGAGCAATTGATCAGAGACATAAAAATTGATGTTCTGTCAATTATTCTCAACAGTGATCATTCGGAAGATTTTAAGCTCCTGATGCAAGTTTTGTAACCTGTAAATAGCTTGTTTTTTGTTCCTGTATCATAATGAGGGATATCTCACATATTGAGTATCATGATGTACCCTATTTCTACATTTGGTAATGAATAAAATCTCTTTTCATTGACCAAAAAAATGACAAATATTTTACAAAACTAGTTTATTTCATATTTTATCATGTCATATACTTTCTGAAAATATTTGACCGTTTAGAACTTTTATGTTCTTTAAATAATAATGAAAATTAAGAAAAGGTTTGATTTTGAAAAGAAAATTGTTGAGGCCCACAAGTCAGGGAAACTTAGTCCATAACACAGTGCTTGGGCCCACTAAAGCGGAACTTTCCTCACCCACAATCAAAATTTCTTAAAAGATGAGAAAATCTTAAAAATGGAACAATCAACCGTGAGATGCTCATGAGAATGAATACCTTAGGGGCTGTTTGGTTCCCTGTTTTTGAGGGAAAGTCACTGTTGAAAACATGCCAAAAGTGTCAAAAGTGTCACTTTTTGGCAGGCTTTCAAGCAAAATCCTCTTTTTTTAGAGGCGTTTTTGCTTAAAGCCTGTCAAAGAAGTGACACTTTTGCAGGCTTTCAAGAGAAAAGATTTTTAACCAAACAGCCCCTTACAGTTTCGTGATTAAGTATATATTTGTAAGGTTTTACAAGAACAATGTGTTTGAATTGCTGCTTTCTGCTTGGGCATTGTGCACTAATATAAATTTCTGGAAACAGAACGAGTACAAATAAATTCTCTTCGGTGAGTGATGAATTGATACCTTCAAAAGTGAGACGCTGATGTTTTCACTAATAGCGGTGAATAAACCAGAACATATTTGGATACACATAAAATCAGTCTAAAATCTACTCTGTTGTACTTTAAAAGAGAACCTAAGAATCACGGTTCATGTTACATTGAATATTACAGTAAATTAGTGTAGCATAAACAATAAACCGAATCTACCCTCTATGTATAAAGTACTGTTCATGCTACAACAAAACTGTAACATAACATAAAATATTTTTTACTACAGTATTAACATTTGGATCCTTCTTTAAATATAATTTCTAAATCAAATATATTAAAACTTAAGTCTTTTTTTAAGTATAAAGGAGTAAGGTTAAAATACAGAATTGGCATAAATAGTGTCACCTCCTTATCATTTTGACCTAAAAAGTAACATCGGCGATAATTTAACTTAAAAAGTAACAAATCGGTGACAAATAAACCTTTTCGGTCACTAGAAGCATTTTTTAACCAAGAAAATTAAGAGATTTTTATATACACCCTTCACATTTCTTATATTTTCTGATTTAACCCCTCAAGTTTTAAAATTTATAAAAAGAACTTCTCTCTCTCTCTCATTTCCCATCATCTTTTCCCTCATCCTTCTTGTCATATCTTTCATTCTTTTTTTTCTCAATCGTCTCAATTCTCTTTTCTTTCTTTCACATATCCTCACTCTTAAGGAGATTGATTTTTTAATGATTCGAGGATGAAAGAGGAGTAAGAAGCAGAGAGGAAGAGAGAGTGCAAGAAAAGAAGAGAAGAATAAAGTTAAGATTGTGGTGGAATGTTTAATTATGGGTGTTGGGAGTGGGTGAAGCAAGTAGGAAGAGAGTGAGAGAAAGGAAGAGGAGAAGAAGGAAGATGGAATGAGAGAGAGGAGGAGATGTTGGGGATTTGGAGTAAAAGAGTCTGGAGGAGATGAAGAAAATTAGAAAGTAAGTGCTATGATCCATGAAATAAGGTAGGAGAGAGAGTGAGGGGGGATGAAAGGTTAGGGTATATGAAGAATAAGGGAATTGAGAAGATGGTGGGAAGAAGATAGTAGAAAAAGATGATATTTTTTTATAAATTTCAGAAATTTAGGGAAAGGAGATGGGTTAATTTAAAAATCATGAGAGATTAAGTGGTCTACATATAAAATTTCTTTAAACTTTTGAAAATAACTCCCGCGATCAGAAAAGTCTATTTATCGTCGATTTGTCACTTTTTAGGTCAAATTGTCGCCAATTTCACTTTATAGACCAAAGTAGTAAAGATGTGTCACTATTTAGGCTAATTTGGTATTTTAGTCAAAGGAGTAAATATGAATTCTACATCAAATGTATTAAAACTTGCATCATTCTTTAAATATAGTGGAGTAGATATAATTTCTAATTTTAAGCACATAATAATCAAATAAAATGCATTAAAACTTAGAGGGAAACAAGTTTAAAATGTAGTGCTTAAAAAAAAGGGTACCGTGCTTTGCACGGGGTGTACACTAGTTATCGTTGCAATAGCATAGAAGCTAATCCCACCCAAGAAAAGGGAAAAAAAATTGAAAACGAACATAATTTCTGAAATTTGAAAATTTGGCATACTGTTCAGAGACCCAAATAATGTGCATTTACTTCAGGCAAAATGAGTATCAAGTTTGCATCCAGTCTTATGTACGTATCAATTAAAACAAAACAAACATAGACAAAACTTATATTCATGCACAAACAAAAAAACAAACAAAAAAGAAGAAAAAGGTTGCATTTACGTGATTCCATAGATGAAGGCTGGTCTTGGGGGAAGGAAAACTGAGGAAATTTGAATACCCTACTACTTTCATGGCATCCATCAGTTGCTTGATAATATGAATCTAACATCACCTAAGGAAATCTAGAAACATTTGCTAGAGAAATGAGATCAATTTGATTCCAGCCGCTGAATAGAAAACTATCAAGCCTTGGTGCGGCTGTATGTGCAACTTCATACATACTGGATATCCTCTACACTAATAAACAATACAATTAGCATCCACCTTCAAATTCTAAGGTGACTACTTTTTGTTGGGGAATTTTAGTCTCCCCGCGTAGTACGATCCCCATAACTCGGAAGCCAACCCATAATGAATAAGATATAAAATGACCACAATCAAGAAGAACGAACACTGAGATTTACGTAGTTTGGTCAACTAACTTCGACCTACATCCACGAGGTAACAATACCAGAAATCCACTATACATCAGAGAGAACTACAGGGGAAACCACTTAACTCTTGTCTCTCAATCTTACAACCTCACATATATAATCAAATATCATATTCTCTCCAAAACTCACTCCTTATAATATTTTGAACGGACAAAGACTACGAAACCATCTCCCAATGTTGTAATCTTTTGCAAGAAAAAAGACTACGAAACCCTCGCCTCTCACACAATATTCTTGAATCAGGCTACACCCTCTGCTAACCTTAGATTATAAGAATATTATCTCTCTCTCTCTCCTCTCCTTGATTTTTTCTCCAATAATAGAATAATATATATAGGGAAACCAAAATCCTACCCCTAACCAAGCTTTCTAATTAGAATAAGATACAAACTCCCAATCATAATGAGACACAATCTCCTAATCATGATAGATCTCTAATCCTATATAATTCTCATGAAGTTATACAAAGAATCAAAGACATAATCCTAAAAATCTCCACTTGGATTTGATTCCCAAGCCACCTCAAAGATCTAACATTGCCGTCCTAAAACTTTGCATCTCCTACTATTGTCTTCTATTTCTTTTTCGCACTCCAATCAGAAGCACCCACACTCCTAATCGGAACACCCGCACTCCAACCGGGATGCTTCGTGACCCACGCTATCCTGCCTCACTGTGGCGCCTCCACTTCTCTTGTGTGCACAAAGAGATCTTCACTACCTCTAAAATTAGAAGCAAATTAACCATGCTTGTCCTTCCAACTTGAGCTTAACAATAGCCTCCCTCCGCTTGTTCTGCTTGTGCTCTACTTGCATCGATTGTCTCAACTATATCGGTGCACCTATCCTACTCCACACTATGAGCCGGATACCTCTATATCTTCCATCACTTGGCTTGGATCGAATATGATTGTCATTCTCCTACAA